GTTATCAGCCTCACTCTCTCCCAGGGTCATCAAAGTCTAAAGATAAGACAAAAGTCACAATGACTGGCAATGGCACAGGATGGAGTGGCATCTTTGATGTCTGACCAAACTCTAAGTGCTCCACAGTGCCTGCTTCAGCTGCCTTCATGGCCATTGGAGCAAATTGTTCTCATCTGCCTATTCCATCAGGGGAAATCTTCACATACTTGAGATAGATACCCCTCTAACTCACTGATGGGTTTCTTGTCCATAGATTACCCTTAGCCTGGTTTAGCCATCTGCTGAAACAATTTACCAGAATGTGGCTGATGGGCATGCTACAGTTTCTTGGAGTACAAATGAGAGTTGAGTGCCAGGTGGATACCAAAGGTATCCCGGAAAAAAAAAAAGCAGCCCTGAAAAGGGCTTGGCAAGCTCTTACACCAGAGGTGCTAATGCTCCTTGAATGCCTATACATTCCTGTGATGGAATTCTATTGTTCTATAAGAAATGACAAGGAGGATGGTTTCCCAGAAAAACCTAGGAAGACATATGAACTGATGCAAACAAGTGAGCAGAACCAGGAGAACATTGTACACGTTAACACGTTATCATTTTACAATGATCAATTACAAATGACTTAGTTATTCTGAATGATACAGTGATCCAAGACAATTCCAAAGTACTTAGATAAAAAATATTATCTGCCTACAAAGAAAGAACAAATGGAGTCTGAATGTAAATTGAAGCACACTTTTTTAAATTTTCTTTATTTTTCTTGCTTTTTTGCCTAATAGCTAATATGGAAATGTTTTGCATGATTTCACTTGTGTAATTGACATCACATTTCTTGCCCATTGCCTTCTTATTGGGTGGGGAGGGTGGTAGGAAGAGAATTCAGAATTTTTTCAAAAAAATTTTTTTTCAAAAAACAAATTTTAAATAATAATAAAATTTTTTAAAAAGAAAAATATCACTGTGAATAGCTAGTTTTGTGTAAGTGGAAACACATCTACAGGGGCATGAAAGCTATAGTGATTAATAGGGGAAGTGTATCAAGGACCCTGAGTCCACATGATAGTTTTCTTTTGGAATATAGACCTGCCAGTGTAAAGAGAGGTTGGAGTGAATATACCAGTTCAAATAATGATTATCTGTCTACATGCCCTGAGTAAGAGGTGTCAGGTACTATAATATGTGTAGTGACCCCATATACCCATTATATAAGTATTAATTATGCTGTTTCACAGCACTAGTTTATCAGTTCTTGGTGGGTTTTTTTGTTTCTTTGTTTTTACCCACATTTTCTTTTGTATTTTGCTATCTTGCATGCTTGAATGATTCTTGGAATATTTTACTTCCCCAGACTAACAGCTGATGCAATATCTCTAACATTCATTGAAGTTTGCTCTTTGAGAGCTACTTTTGTACATTTCGTTAGAATGATAACCATTTTTTAAAAGCCATAAAATTAAAAACAACAAAAATACAATGAAAAATTTTGTATAGCAGGAAATCCAATATTCATGTGTCAGAGAAATAAAGGAATCCCAACTCAATGTCATTTTCCTTCTGATGCAATATCAATAGAAACATACACAATATCATTGCTGTCACAAATGAGACCACGCTGTGGCAGTAGAATTTCTGGCTCAGACCTCCTGCTGCCACTGGAATAAAAGAAAGACTATGATGGAAAATAAACTCTGACTCAAGACTTCTTGCTGTCACTGTGATAAAAAGAGGACACTGCCTACACCAATTGCATACGCAAGGTTGGGAAACAAACCACAGCTCCTGTACTGGCCAGCTGGCAAGGGTCCCTTTACTTTCTGAAATGTTTACTCTTATCTTCCCCAGTTGGTTTCTGTAAAATTCCATTTTTCTATGCTACTTATAAATTTGTAGTCTGTATAAAGGTTACTGAAGCTGATGCTCTGGACTCTCTGACTTTATTTATACAGATAATCCTGTGCTCTAAGCATAATAAAAATCCTCAGATAATTGTCTCTGTGTTGTTGTTGACGTCAGTACCTAATCAATGAACTCTCAGATAATTTTTGACACAATATCCAAATTATTGCTTGTCCAAAGTAATTTTATGCCAGAGATAAATAGAAACTAAATAGATAGAACTAGATAGCACTAGAAATGTAAGGAAATATTAAAAAGGCAAGAGAAGGGAAGAAAGAGAAGCTAAACTGACATTCCATTGATTAAATTCCACACTTCCCTACAAGTAATCAATTTTGTGGGAAGAATAACAGTGAAAAGTCACTCAAGTGGGGAGGGGGGAGACAAAAGCACTGGCACTATTTTGTTGTTCCTGTCTGATTCTTCATGACCCCATTTTGGAATTTTCTTGACAAAGATACTGGAGTGGTTTGACATTTCCTTCTCCAGCTCATTTTACATTTGAGGCAAACAAGGTTAAGTAACCTGTCCAGGGTCACACAGCCAATATCATATTTGAACTCAGCTCCTTCTGACTCCAAGGCCAGCACTCTATCCATTGTACCACATAACTACCCCACTGGCAATATTCCATCATGTTACTAAGATCATTACCTGGGGAAGTGAAAGAGGTTGGCAATGGGGAGGTACAACCCCAGAGGGCTCATTTAGAATAGTGATGGTACATAGCCAAGTGGTTTGCCCTATCTGGCAGTTTTATTGGTCAATGTGCAGGTATTTGTCCATCCCAAGAAGCAGCCCAATAGACTGAGGGAAATGACTGAGTTATATAAAGAGGCTCTTACCAGAAGTGACTTCCCTTGAGACCAGAAGCCCCAAGGCTAAAGTATCCCTTGGATCATTTAGCCTCACCCTCAGACCTGAGCTCGAAGACTGCCAGGTGCCTTAGGTTAAGACCTTAGGAGACTAGAAGTCCCCCAGAAACATTATAAATAAGTAGGAATGAATCTCCTTATGATGACAAGAAGCATCAGTAGTGATAGAAACCACAGCTTCTTTCTTTTGATGGGGCAGTCATTCAGAGTCTACAGGAAATGAACCCAAACGATTACACGTTCAAGTATTGGGAATATTGCAAGTTCCTTACCCAATTCATCAGTTGACCCTCACTATTCTATCCCAACCTGTTTCAAGTGTCTAATTAGACATAATCTGGAAATTGCATAAGGCTTAGAGATAACTGCCTTTTCTTCTTCATGTTGCTGTTAGAACTGGCAATCACAGAGTCTGCTTCCACCAGTTATCACTCTCTGTCAGCGGCAAGTAGATTTTTTCTTCTGGTATCAGCAGATCTGAGATATCCTTGGCAAAGTGGAGATGCAAATTTACCCCAATTCCACTAGCTATCTATATTCACAGACAATAACCAAAATAGTGTGTGGCAATAACTTCTTGCACTGAGTGGAATAGGGCCTATGCACCTTTTCCAGATGTACTGATTGGAATAGGGTCATAGACCCTGGAACCCAACTGCAAGAGAGATGAGGTTTGCTGAGAAAGAGGAGTTTCTAGCCCTTAGAACAGTGTCTGCCACATAGTAGACCGTTGACAAATGTTTGTTGATTTGATATTGATTTCCAGGGCTTGGCAGCAATGAGAAATGAAAGCCACGGGCATATAAGCAAGGAAATAGGAGTTTCTCAGCCAGCTGAAGTGCAGGAGCATTGCTCTAGTAGCCAGTTTTACAGGTGCTGTAGGAAAGGCCCACGAACACAAGGGGGAGCTAAGACCCAGTAGAGAAGAAGGCAATAGTAACACTTCAAATCCAAAACCCTGCTCTTGGGGCTAAGACTTCACTTGTCAGGACTGTAAATTTTTTTCAAGGCACTAATTGCGAGGGAGGAAGGAAATGGTCTTCATCTGCAGATGGTATAAAATTACTGCTTTGCTAAAGACGCTAAGCTATTTATCCCTTCTTTATTATTTACATGCATTTTTCGCCTTGTCACCCCAAAGTTCTTTAAAAAGTAGCTTTCAGAGTTGTATGGTCTGATGCTGAGTGAAGTGAGCAGAACCAAGAGAACGTTGTACACATAACAGTCACATTGTGTGATGACTAATATTGATAGACTTAACCCTTCTCAGCAATACAAGGATCTAAGACATCCCCAGAGGCCTCGTGATGGAAAATGCTATCCACATCCAGAGAAAGAACTATGGAGTTTGAATGCAAATACTATTTGCTTTTTTTTTCCCTTCTGTTGTGTTTTGTTTCCTCTTTCTGGTGGTTCCTCCTATTAGTTCTAATTTTTACTTACAACAATACTAATGTGAAAATATGTTTAATAGGAATATATATGTATAGCCCATATCAGATTGGGCGCTGTCTTGGGGAGGGAGGTGGGGAGGGAGGGGGAGAAAAATTTACAACTCAAAAGCTTATGGAAGTGACTGTTGATAAATCAAAATAAATTTTTTTTTTAAAAAAGTAGCTTTCAACAATGGTTGCCCCTCTAGACCCCCGGCTAAGCCCCGAAACTAGCGCCTCCTCAGCCCCAGGTCACTCCCCTGTAATATGTAGTACAACCAAACAGCCACCACCTCGAGGGACCCCCTCGCCCTTTGCCGCCCCGCCCGTCACTGCGGGAGACAAGACTCTCCGCATAGACCTATAGGAAATGAGCCCTAGCAAAAGAGCAATGCTTACCGCGCGCTCTAGTAATTGTCAAGCGGAGGCTTGTTAACGCGCGTGCGCAGCCTCGACTCCCGTTTAATGCGCGCGCAGTCCCTCCGCCATCATGGAAAGGGATTGTCGGCTTCAAGGCACGTTTTTTGTGTAAGGCCAGTGTGGACCCAGGGCCCAAAGCCCAGGTATTCAGGGACCTTGGCGTTTTGCCTTTGAGTCTCTGTGGCTGGAGCAGCCGGAGCCCGGGGCGGAGGTGGTGGGGGATGGTGATGTGACTGGCAGGAGCGCGGGACGGAAGCAGGTTGGGAATGGGGGGGGCTTCCCTTTTGCGCATGTGCGGAACCCTGACCTTCGGCTTGGGGCCGTCCTCGGGCTTCCGTTCTCTTTCCCCAAACGGAGAGTGTCTGGACCTCTGTCTGTCTGCCAGAGGCCGCTGGGGCTGCTTGCTCGCCGGGCCCCCGGGGTGGTGGGCGAGGGTGGCGAGCAAGGCAAACCCTGCTGAGGGCGTGAGGAGGGAAAGAACTTGAATGGGTCCTCTCCCGACCAAAGACATTGTCTTTTTCTCGATATATTTAGTCGGAAGGACTAGTGTAGTAGATCTGCCCTAAACGTGCAGCTGATCCATTTTCCTCGTTGTAGTTTCCGCCCTTTTAGAGCAGAAATGCGTCGCAAGAGCTAATGGTTATCTCGGTTGATCGAATACAACCTCAGACCTCCCCACCCCCACCCCGGTCTCCGGTAAAATATATAATTTAAAAATTACTTATTTGGGGAAGTATCTTTTTTTTAAGTTTCAGTTCATCAAATACGTGCACTTCGCTCCAGTTTGGAATACTTGATTTGATTCAGTCGAGAAGCCCGAGGGCTTCTTCTTGTGGATCTATGTTTGTCAGAAAAGAACCTGAATTTGTTGACTGTTCACGATGTTCAATGAATGAAATGCATCTTGTGCCATTTGTATGTGCAGGACCACTTGCCATCTCTGCAGGACCCTGGAATTAGACTGCAATTGAAGCTACTGGGTCCCCTCTTGTTGATTCTTCTTGTCTCCATCCACAGCACAGCCTGGGGAAAATAAGGACTCAGCCTGAGGTACCAAAGGGAGGGTTGTCTGCTGAGGTAACAGACCTGAGTATCAGAATGCCAGGCCCTACTAGAGTGACCTTGCCCCAGGGCCCTTAACTCCATATGAATATGGAGGAAGAATCCATCCTAGGAGATCTCTGATCTTTAGGCTGAGCCTAGAGACTGAAAGGAAGCTCTTACTTCTGTTGAACAATTTCCTAAGTATTCTTCCTGGGAAGATCAGGAGTTGTCACAACTAAATGTGAATGTTGCAGCATTCAGAAAATATTTGGGAGTGGGTAACTGAAGGATCTGACACAAATTCTTAAGGAAAGAAATTAAAATTACAAAGACAGATGGAGTACTGGGAACCTTTGGTCTAAGGGCTGAGACCTGAGACCTAAAATGAGGTGTATGGAAAATTGGCCTGGTGATCAGCTAATCCAGACTATTTCCTTTCTTTCACCACCTAGTGCCCTTTATTCTCCACACATACACTGTTATTTCCTAATTGGTTTCCCTGCCTCCATTCTTTCACATTAGTGATTTAATTTGCTTCCTAACGAGAGACCTTTGGATAAACATTATCCTTCCCATCTTAAAGGGGTGAAAAATAGGATCAGAGAGGTAAATTGCTTAAAAAAAAATCTCCTTTGTTGATAGCAAAACCAGAACTAGAATGTAGGAATGTCTAATCAGGTTATCTTTTCATCACACTAGGCCGTACTGATGACATAAACATTTTTATTCTTTATAAAGCTGTTTTCTCCAAATTTTGTGAGTCAGCCTTGGGGAATTGGAGTATTACCATTAAATAAAGAAGTTACCCAGATGCAAAAAATAAGAAGCACTTAAAACCTCACAATATATTGAGGACAGACAGGAAGCTGTAAAAAGTATTATATGTGAAGGACATTGTGTACTTGGCATAGGAAAAAAAATGAAAAATAGTCTAGGCATTAGCCAAATCTAATTGCAATGTGGTAAAATAGGAAGAAAGATATAGAGTCAGATGTCAGGTTTAACTTTTTGTCTTAACTTTTTGTCACTTATTTTTACCTTTGATCTTAAGAAAGTTGCTTAGCTTCACTGACCTTTTTCCTCATCTTGAAAATGACAGGGTTTGACTAGATAACCTCTAAATAGATGGTCCTAAAGGGGGATGTGACATATGCTCAAATAATTACAATATGAGGTAGTATATGATGGGGGCAAGTTGGGGATCAGTGGGAAATGGTCCTATGACAAAAATGTTATAGAGAGATTAATAGTAATAAATGTAAAATAACATACATGAGTTTAAAAACAACGTCACAGGTAGCTTTAAACGTGTTGGGCGTGTGGGTCACTAAATGCAAGTCCTAGAGAAAAAGACCTGGATGGGTTTACTGAATAATGAGCACCTAATGAGTCAACAGTACAATGTGGCAACCTAAAATCTACTTCAGTACTGGGCTCTATTGAGAAGTATAATGTCTAGAATTTGAGAGATTGTGATACTGCTGTTCTCTGGCCTGGTCAGGTCACATCTGGATTGTTGTGTTTAATTCTAGATACCACATTTAATGAAGGGCATTAAAAATCTCAAGCTTTTGTAGAGGCAATAAGGATGAGGTCATGACTAGAGAGCTTGCCATATGAGGACAGATTGATATTATAGAAATGAATCTTGGTCAGAGATTGAGATTCCTTCCCACTCTACATTCAGTTCTATGTGGGATTTAGATAGAATGACCTAGGAAAATTTGAGAGAGAATTCTTAGGGAAACTGGGTAAAGTTTCACAGAGAAACTGTCAACAAGCTTTTATTAAATGTTTGCTATTTGCTAGGTATTATAAAGGTAACACATGAGCTGGACCTTGGAAGGGGAAAAAAACAGTTCTTCAGTAGTTAGAGATAAGGGGCATGCGTGGCGGATGGCTTGGATGAGAACAGGGAAGAGTTGGATATCTAATTTAGCTGGAATTTAGAATAAGTGAAAGAGAATAAAATGAAATCAGGCTGAGAAGGTAAGTTGAAGCCAAGATAATCACATTCCTCTAGCACTATATAGCTGACAGAGCATTTCCACAAGAATCCTATGAAGTTGCTATTACTATAAGCATTTTATACAAACATTTGAGGCTCAGAGAAAGATTACGTGCCCGTAGACAATAACTAAAATCTGCCAGGACTGAGATTTGAACCCAGGTCTCTTCTAACAAAATATACTCCACTTTTCCACTTCTCTGTATGTCTCTTAATGTAGATGCCAGACAAAAAAGCGTTTCTATTTTAACCTTATCCTAATAGGGAGCCTCTGAAAGTTTTGGAGTAGCAGATCAGTTCTTTGCATTAGGTTTTTTGTCAACTTTGTAAAAAATGGGGAGAGTAGGGGGGGTACTAGACTCAGGAAAACTAGTTAAGAGTCTGTTATAGTAGTCTAGGCAAGAGGTGATGTGAATCTTTGAAAAAGGGGAGTGGAGGCAGGATAGTCGCATTATGAATGGAAGGGCAAGACAAATTCGAGAGATGTCATTGAAATGGAAATAATAAAACGTGGCAACAGGTTGGTGAAGGGAAAGAGTCAAAGATGACTCCAAAATTTGAAGGTTGGGTGATGATAGTGCCATTACCAAAATAGAAATGTTAAAAGCAAAGACAATTTTTATGAGACTTCTGTCATCTGTGTAGCAGTAGTAACTGAACTGATAGGGCTGAATGTCAGACCACCAGAGGATCGAGTGTATTAGAGAGAAGAGAGCCCGGTATAGAATCTTGGGTAAGAAATGGATGATGATCCAGCAAAGAAGAATAAGAAGGAGCAATCAGACAGGAAAAACAAAACGAGAGCAGCGACACAAGTCAAGAAAGTTAAGGGCATCTGAGATGAGGAGGTGGTTGAGAGATGTCATGTAGAAAATAGACTGAGAAAAGGGCTCTAGTGACTCAGAAGAGTGGGTTGTTTCTGGAACTTGCTTTGACTTCCTTGTTAGTGCAGAGCATTGAAACCACCCCCAACTAGTATGTGAAAGTTTCTAGACTGGTGAATGTGGGTGCGATAAGTCAGAATAGTCTCTCATATTTTCCTTTCTTATCTCCAATTCTCCCTCTTCAGGATTCTCTCTCTCCCAAAAGGGGAGCGTTAAAGAGGAAGGAATGTCCTCTGTGTTCCTGACAGCTGGACCCCAGGTGAGTTAGAATTTCATTTCTCTTTCTAAAATGCCACTTCGGGTCTTGAGGGAGTGAAAAATTTCCTTCTTTTGTACTTGAATTTTTTTTTAAACAACAACCTATCTCAGGACCAAGTGTTTTCCTTCAGGTGACTGAACTTCATTAATAGGCTTGTGGAAGAAACGGACATATATCTGTGGAAGAAGTCACGTTAGGAAAGAGTGACAAGCTGACTTTGTTGAGTAAGACCAGATTTGTAAAAGCCTTGAATAGGAGCTGGTTTAGAATTTATCCTGTAAAAAAATTGGAAGCCATTTCGTGTTTTTGAGAAGGAAGGCAGTCAAGTGATATGATTAAGCTGTGTTTGAGGAAGAAGAGACAAAAGAGAGTGATCTGAGTGGCAAACATTGATGTGACTGTCTAACGTGAGTCCCAAAGTATATAAAAGTAATAGAAACCACAGCAGTAAAAAAAAAAACTAGCCCTTTAAAGTTTGTTATTTATTTCCCCACAACAACCTGATGAAGCATAGATTGTATTAGCATTTGTAGATAGGAAGTTAAGTGAATTAGCCAGGACTAGTTGCGTTGGGACTTGAGCCCATATCTTCCTATTGCTTTTAACCATACCATACGGTCTGTAAATGATACTATGTCAGGGCACATAGGTGGCGCAGTGGATGGAGCACCAGCCCTGAAGTCAGGAGGACCTGAGTTCAAATCTGGCCTCAGATCAGACACTTGACACTTACTAGCTGTGTGACCCTGGGCTAGTCACTTAACCCCAATTGCCTAAAAAAAAATAAAATAAAATACTATGTCCACTGTAAAAAGGTCTTCATACTTTAAAATGTCTAAATGCTATCCTGTCTTTGGAGTGCCATGGGGTGACTATGATTTCTGTCAGAGTGATGTGTCCATTGGTCCATGATTATGTCATGGCCTTACCAAAATTGTTCTGGAAGTCTGGGGGAGAATTTGTCACTATTTTTCTGAAAGCTGGATATTTACATATCCCTGACAAGGAAACCAGATTCTAGGGTATCTCCTCCCAATGATAGTTAAATACATAGTTTATTTTACAGTCTTACACAGTAAAACAAATATGATGGTACTTATTTATTTGCTTTCACATTGAAGTGTCACTGCTTAAAAGGACCCAAGTTTTCAGGGCTTTGATGTAAAACAGGATTCACAGTTGATTACATTTTCTCACAATTGGAAGGAAGGCCTTCGAGGTCGAATCTAATTGACCATTCAGATGGCAAATACCTTTATAATATCCTCCAGTCCATCATCATAAGACTTCTGCTGGAAGATCTCCTTTGAAGGTGAATTCAGTAACTCTTGATATACAGTCTGTTCCACTTATGCACAGTTTTTTCTTTACATTGGTATAAAAATCCACAGCTCCCTCTAGTTCTGGTTTCCTAGTTCTGCCTCTTGTGGCACCCAAAGCAAATCTAATCTTTGTACCATATGGCAATCATTCAAATACTTGAAAATGACTATAATATTCTCCTCCCCAGTTAAGGCTTCTCTTTTCTAAGATTCCTGGTGTCTTCAACTGAAGAAAATATTTTTGAAGAAAATTATTATTACTAGTACTGTATTCTGCATTTAGGCACCAGTCTTCCAGAAACAGTTTGATATAACTTTAATCTCTAGCTGAGCCATTTCTAGCTTGGAGACTGAGATGTCTAAAATGGCATAGCTCCTCCACGTTCTCTAATGAGAGCAATCAGATATGACTGCCCTAAGATTTTGCATAACAGAAGAATCTTGAACAAGAAAAGAGAAAAAAGAAGTCTGGGATAATATTCCGAAACTGAACACTCTTTCCAGTACTGGCTGCACTCTCTCTCATTCCCTTCAACTCACTGGTCAAGGCAAGGGAGTCGGAATACTCTTTGTTCCTCATTGCCACTTCCAGGTTTTCCCCTACCTCCATCATTCAGTAACTTGCCCTTCTTTGAGGTTCATATCTACCACCCAGTCAAAATCCTGGTAGCTTTTGTCTATAGACCTCCAGGTCACTTCCTACCTTCCTCAGTGAGTTCTGTACCTGGCTGACAATTTTTCTTTCCTCCCTGACTCCTGCCTTCATACTTACAGACTTCAGCATATATATTGACTTTCCCTTAAACACCCTAACCACTCAGTTCCTCTACTTACTCATGTCCTGTCACCTATTTCTATACCCCACCTCAGCCACACACAAGGATGGTCATACCCTTGACCTTACTATCACTCACAAATGCACCACCTTCATGTTCAAGAATTCTGAACTCCTACTTTGGACCATTATCTCTTTTCTTTCCACTTTTCCCTTTTCCTTCCCTTAGTAACCAAAACCTGTTTTTCATCCAAACCATGTCCTTTGGTCCCTTGACTCCTCTGTTCTTTCCCAGGCCATCATCCTTGCACTAACCATTCTCTTCTTTTTCCTATCTTTTTTTCCCCCCAATTAATTTATTTTGATTTATCAGAGTCACTTCCATAAGCTTTTGAGTTTTTAATTTTTCTCCCCCTCCCACCCCAAGATGGCATGCAATCTGATATAGGCTATACGTATACGTTCCTATTAAACATATTTTTACATTAGTGATCTTGTAAGGAACAATTAGAACCAATAGGAGGAACCACCAGAAAGAGGAAACAAAACACAACAGAAGAAAAAGAATTAGTAAACAGGGTGCTTCGATCTGCATTCACACTCCATAGTTCGTTCTTTGGATGTGGATAGCATTTTCCATCATGAGGCCTTTGGAGATGTCTTAGATCCTTGCATTGCTCAGAAGGGTTAAGTCTATCAATATTAGTCATTGCACAACATGGTTATTACTATGTACAACGTTCTCCTAGTTCTGCTCACTTCACTCAGCATCAGACCATACAAGTCTTTCCAGGTTTTTCTGAAGTCTTCTGTTCATCATTCTTTTCCCCATCCTGACCCCTTAGTGAACCAGTTTAACTCTTCAGTCCATAGCCCTCTTATCATATCACCGACCTCTAGGAAATATGTAGTTAAAAACAGAATAATAGTGTTATGTTATACTGTACATCCCAGTTCTCTCATGTTTTGGGGGTTTTTTGTGGATGATTCTTTAATTTTTTTTAATTTGATTTGTATTATTTTTATTGTTATTATTTTAATTTTTAATTAAATTTACCCAAACAGTTATAAGTACATAATTTAAAATCTTGATCACATTCATTTTAACTTGGCATGTTTCACTGGCATTAGGATTTTTGTGTCCAAATGTTGTATGCTTTTTGTTAAGTGTTTTCAGTGTATTTTCATTTTCATAGATTTCCTTTACAATGAGCTTTGTGATAACTCTTTAGTCATACACCAGAGTATTCTGTGCCTACAATTTTGGTTAAAAACATTGTAAACCTGCTTACTAAATATCAGATGATACAGTGAGAATAGAGCAGGTAACATTAGATCATAGGATTTAGAACTGGAAAGGGATCTTGGAGATTATCTAGGCTAGTCTTTTTATTTTGAACATAAGGAAATTGAAGCCCAGAGAGGTGAAGTGTGTTATATAGTAAATAACAGAGCAGGAATTCAAACTTCAGTCTTCTCAAAATCAGTGTATTTTTTACTGTACCATGGAATCAAGATTCACAAAATTTGACAGGCTAGAATGATAGAGCAATTAAATGGGGACAAATGTACAATTCTGCATAGAGATTCAAAAAATTAGCTATCCCAAGTAACATCACAGGAGAGTAGACATGACAACAAACTTGTTTGTCTAAAATTTGACATGACCAAGCGTAATATAGATGTACCAGTGACATGACATCCAAAAAACTAATGCAACCTTAGTTTTACATTACTTAGTGAAAGAAGTGACAGTTGTACTTCACTCCGCCCTGATCAGACCATATCTTGGATAAAGTGTTGAGTTTCATGTACATGTTTTAAGGTGGATATTAACAAAAGTAAATAACAAATTTGTTATTCTGTAGGCACCAAAGGATAGAATTTGGATTGATGGGTGTAAGTTATATGGATACACAATTCAGATCAATGGTAGAATTTTTTTTTTAATCACAGCTTAATAATTGGAAAGGGCTGCTTTCTGGAGTGAATTATCCCATCATCAAGAGAGTTTTTAAAAAGGCTGGACCGCTAGCTGTCAGCTACACAGAGACATTGAGTGGGAGTTAGGAATTATGACCTTAAACTAATTTAGACTCTAAGGATATAGAATTCTTCTGTGAAGTTTTATAGTACATCAATCAACCTCAATCTCTTTTCTGAACTCTTATAAACTTATTTAGAATTTTTAAGCACTTGCCTGTATTCTTTAAAATTACGCTGTGTTTCTAAATTTTCTTTATTGTAAGCTCTGTGTTCCTTAAGAACAGGAACTACATACTTGGCTTTCTTTTTTTTCTTTTCTTTTTTTAATTTGCCAGTCATGTACAGTACTGTATACACAATAATAATAATAAATGAATACTTGATTTGGAAGATTCAGAATTCTAAACATAATCAGAACTATTTCCTGTAAATCTTTTTTTTTTAAGTAGACAGTGGGGTTAAGTGACTTGCCCACGGTCACACCACTAGTGAGTGTTGTGTCTGAGGCCGGATTTGAGCTCAGGTCCTCCTGACTCCAGGGCCAGTGCTCTATCCACTGTGCCAGGTAGCTGCCCCTATTTCCTATAAATCTTATCTACATCCTGTGGTGCTTCCAGCTTTCCTCACTGTTCAGGAGTGGAGGGGAGGAAATTATCTCAGGCTGAATAATTGTATTCTGCCATTTCAGGAATCAGTGACATTCAAGGATGTGGCTGTGGACTTCACGTGGGAGGAATGGGAGGAACTAGATGTTGCTCAGAGAGACCTCTACCGGGATGTGATGTTGGAAAACTATAGAAATATAATCTCACTAGGTAAGGAAAGCATCCATTTTTTTGTGTGACTTGTAATATCCCCTTTTCCCAGTTTTTAAAAAGTGATGGGGCCTTATGAAATGTTTGAGTTGAGCCTGAATCTTAGAGATCTGAAATTCCTTAACACCTTGTAGTCTCCCAAACAGGTTGTTCCTACTATCTATTCCCATGTGAAAATGTTATGTGTTAACAGTTAAAATAGAAAGCTTCATTAATTCCATGGTGCTGCAGTTTTTTTCATCTTTCAGAAGTCCTGAAGACTAATCAGTGGGATTTCATCCTAGTTCTATGTCCTATGACAAAATGTCCAACTCTCTGTCTTTTGCCTGTGAATAGGGACTCAGGTTTCTAAACCAGAGGTGATATTCTTGTTGGAACAAGGAAAAGAGCCCTGGATGGTAAAGAGAGAAGTTCCAAGAGTCATCTGTCCAGGTGAGTGAGTGAGAATTAGGCAGAAAAGGAATCACTAACATTCATGAGGGGGTAGTATCTTGTAAGTGTTAGTTGAGTAACTCTCAGAGTTCTCCAGTTGTATTAAAGATCTAAGCCTTTTGATATGTATCCTCATATACTTTAATTGCATAATCTCTTAGAATTGGAAGGGATCTTGGATGTTATCCAGTTCAGTTTGCCACGCATGTAGGAATTTCTTCTCTAAATATTTAGCAGATACTTATCCAGCCATTGCTTGAATATTGAACATTGGTATAGTACTTAATTCATTTGTGAAGTAGTATATCCTCATTTTTAGACAGCTTTGTTAGTTATTTTCTTATATTGAACTGATCTAATTTTCTTCCCCTTTGGAATAAAGCTGAATGAGACTAAATCCCCCTTCCATAAAATTGCCTTTCCAATATTTGAAGACCACTATCGTGTTCCTCTTAAATGTTTTTTCCTTTGTTTTTCAGTGCATCTCTCCAGTTTCAGAAGTACCCCTTCCTTCTAAATCTGACTCCTTCACTATGTTCTGGGTTTTTTTCCTTTACTGTTTTTCTAAGGGCCTTAATCTTCTGATTATTCCCTCTCCTCTTCACTTTTTCCTTATTCATTGGTTCCTCCCGTTTGCTTTTATTTCTTTTGTTGCCACATCTTTCCCAAAAGATTACTTGAATTGCCTGATTTCATATTCATGTAATTGTTACAATCTCGTTTGCAATTCAACCTCTTCTAGCCATGTGTCATAGTCAGCCCACCTATTTGAACCTCATTTTCTTCATCTGTGAAAAGAAAAATATGAGGGGCAGCTAGGTGGCACAGTGGATAGAGCACCAGCTCTGGAGTCAGGAGGACCTGAGTTCAAATCTGGCCTCAGACATTTACTAGCTGCATGACCCTGGGCAAATCACTTAACCCCAATTGCCCTTAAAAAAAAATTTTTTAAAAGAAAAATATGGTAGGAAAGAATAATTTCACTGTCTTTCTCAATCAGTCAACATTTATTAAGCACCTACTATGTACCAGACACTGTGCTAAGTGCTTGGGACACAAATTTTAAAAAAGAAAGATAGCTTCTGCCTTCAAGGAACTTACAATCTAATGGGGGAAGACAGACCACAAAAGGCAAAAGGAAGCTGAAAGCAGGGAGGGCATGGTGGAAGATTGAAAAGTCTTAAAGTACTGTAGCCAAGTGAAAAACGAACTGCCTCCTTAAATGGAGGTTTTGGAGTTCATTGTTCTACCCTCCAATCTGCCTCATAGCATTGTAAGGAAAATACCTTAGAGTACTATCTGTGATATGTGTTTTGCTAAAAATAAAATCATAGACTCTTAAGAGCTGGATGATATCTCAGTGGTCATCTTGCCAGCCCCTTCCTGAAGCATGTGTCTCATTTATAACATTCCCAACAAATGCTCGTTCAACATCTTGAGACCTTCAGTGATAGGTGACTTATTCTGAGGTGGCCCATTCTATTTTTGAACATCTCTATTTTTTAGGAATAGTTTGCTCAGGTTGAGCATACGTGTGGTCACCAAAATGGGTTTCTGGTATTCTAAATTAGGAGAAACTTGAAAATGTCACGACTAGGTAAGGAGCAAGTAGAATATATGAGAGAAATTTGAGGCCAATGGCATTACCCCACAAGAAAATATGCAATGGGAAGAAGGGCCCTGCATGTGAGTTTGAAAGTGCTTTAATCTGATTACATTCCTTATTCTTACAGGAGAGAGATATCATAAATGTGATACATGTGAGAAGAATTTCAAACATATTTCACGTCTAGTTAAACATCAGAGAATTTGTACAGAGAAGAAATACTCTGAACTTAATGACTATGAAAAGTCGTTTTTACAGCAGACCCACCACACTCAAAATCAGAACATTTGTACTGGAGAGAAACCTCATAAATGTAATGAATGTGGGAAAGCCTTTAACAGAACTGCACACCTTAAGTTACATCAGAGAATTCATACTGGAGAAAAACCCTATCAGTGTAATGAATGTGGGAAGACCTTCAACCAGAATGCACACCTTACTCAACATCGGAAAGTTCATATTAGAGGTGATCCCTATACATGTAGTGAGTGTAAGAAAACTTTCCGTCACCCTTCATCTCTTGTTCAACATCAGAGAATTCATACTGGAGAGAGACCTTATAAATGTTATGAATGTGGACTAACTTTCAGGCTATATGTATATCTTACCCTACACCAGAGAATCCATACTGGAGAAAAACCCTATAAATGTAATGAATGTGGGAGAACATTCAGATTGCGTTCAATCCTCAATCAACATCAGAAAATTCATACTGGAGAAAAACCCCATAAATGTAACGAATGTGGAAAGGCCTTCAGTCGAATTTCATTCCTCACTGGACATCAAAGAATTCATACTGGAGAGAATCCCTATGTCTGTAAAGAGTGTGGGAAGGCCTTCAAACAGAGATCATCCCTTAACCAACATCGGAGAATCCATACTGGAGAGAGACCCTACAAATGTAATGTCTGTGGAAGAGCCTTCACTGGCCGGACCCAATTTAAGCAGCATTACAGAAGGCATACTGGAGAGAGACCCTATAAATGTAATGAATGTGGGAAAGCCTTCAGTGGGACTCCATTCCTCAAAAGACATCAGAAACTTCATACTGGAGAGAGACCTTATAAATGTGATAAATGTGAAAAGACTTATAGGCTAGAAGAAAATCTTGTGCAACATCAGAGAATCCATTCTAAAGTGAAACCTTACAAATGCATTGAGTGTGGGAAAGCCTTTGCCTATAGAACATGCCTTACTCGACATGAAAGAATACATAATAGAGAGAAACCCTATGAATCTGGGAAAACTTCTAATCAAATTTCATACCTTACCCAACATCAGAGAAGTACTAGAAAGAAATCCTTTGAATGTGCTGATTGTGGGAAAACTTTCAGTTACAGTGCAGCCTACATTAGACATCAGAAACTTCACAGTGGAGAATAGCCATGTGAACAAAAGGAAAACTGCTTTTAATTCCTGTGATTTTATCTGGAGTTAAAAGACAAAAAAATCCCTTTCAGTGTGTCATTTCTCTCTCCCTTATGCATTTGGCTATTACCCAGAAGCTGCCAAGTTGAGTACATCTGTTTGGGAAGTGTGCTGTTCTACAGGGGGAAATGGTCAACATTTACATGAGGCATAATAAAGAAAACCTTATTAAAACAAACCTCATTCCTTAAAGGAAACCATGTAACTTAATAGGAACCTTTTGGAACAATGGAAATGAACAGATATAATTATCATACTTAAGTCGTGTTAATGGAAAATTGTGATATAAACAGAAATATAAGCCAAATTTTTTGTTTACATGTGCATAATTATAATTGGAAGCAAATTCCTGACAGAACTGATGCTGAAGTTTTCATAGAAGTAACAAGATTTTATTTAATTAACTATATGTGGTAGATCTTTACAAACTATATAAATCATGATAATAACATTAACAAATTGTAAAGAAAATTATGAATTTGAGGAATGAATTGAATATTGAGCCAAAGTATCCCTCTTGAAGTGAAAGGAAAAACTTTATTTTAATGTGATCTTTTTTTTGTAATCTCTTTTATTTGAGGTAGGGACAACTTTTTTTTAGCAAAGTTATTACATAAGAGTTAAGTGGATCACTAAAGTCTGCTATCAATTAGACGTGCTTTGATGGCTGAGAATTGCAAATTGTAAGCCAATGAATGAAGCTTGAGTCACTTTGTTCATATTGGTGAAACTCAAATTAGCTGGTAGTTTTCTTAAATGATAGACTTCGTTCTCTTCTGTAAATTATGAAGGAAGTGACTTCTTAGGGAGGAAATATGCAAGCCTAAAGAGATCATGGGCTGAGCTGGCTTAGGAACCTTTATTTAAAGTTTAGATATCTAGCACCTAGCAAGTCTTGTACGACTAAGGTTCTCTTTCATAAATAACGTTATTTTTGCATAGTCTTTCCAAACATGTATATCCATGTCTTGGCAAACAAAAACACTGAAAAGATGGTGGTGTTAAAGGGTTGAGATATATTCCATCTTTTCAATATACTCAGGAATTTAGTTTGTTTAATTTTAGTAGTGGAAATAGATATTGCAGAACATGATAGGTTTCGTTCCCTTTGGATGATATTAACAGCAAAAAGAAAGTTTTGACTGGCAGGATAAATTAAATTTGTTTTAATGTGGAACAGTCACAGCAACAGTGCTTTCCAAGGGCTAGCCTAGCCAAACATGCAGCAGTCATTTCTAATAGATTGGCTGTTTGGTAATGCATCATCTGGCCATGGCAACCCATGAAACAAAAATGCAGAATGGCCCCTAGTCTTCTTTGACGTTCTTGCATATCTGTGGTGGTGATGAAGAGTGTGAAAAAGGAGGAAAGAAGGTAATAAAAATCACAAATTTTAAACCATCAATAAAATTTAACTTGGCCATCGGCATTCCAACTGTGAATTACTTCTGTAATGACTGAGTAGACATACTACAGAAGGAACTGAATTCTGTTGTTGGCATTCTCAATATAAAAAGTTTCACTGAAAGAAAAGGATGATTTTTCAAGTTTTTCTTGGAGAGGCAATTAAAGAAATTGTTGCAGAGTTGGTTTTACTGTGTTCCTAAAGGCCACAAGATGTTTCCTGGAGTATTTGGTCGTTTCATGTAGTAGTGTTCGTGGTAAGTGCCAGGAGACCATTATGCACCAACGTCTATTGCAGAGGATTAAGAGATAGAAAAGGTTTATAGGTATATATACACACTAGATCCTCTAAATCAGGAGTTCATAATTTGTGTATGTGTGTGTGATGGACCCCTTTGATTTTTAGCTGAACTCTACTTAGACCACAGAATGTTGTTTTTAAGTGCATAAAATACATAGAATTACACATATGTAGTATGTGTATATGCATTTACATATATATTGAAATTCATGGACCTGGGTAAGACTCCCTGGCTCTAAATTAAATAAAAATATACTTTGATACATCAATATGAATAGATAGAAGTGAGGATGACCAAAAAAATGTTGGCATATAACGGGCCAGCAGTAAAGAGGTCAAAGACATTGAATTGAAGCCTCACATTTATATATTATGAATGTTTTGAGAAAAGCAATCTGAAAGTAGCAGATTTGATAAGCACCAAATAACTTTTTAATGTAATTATGTTTTGGCAGAAAATGACTCATTGATATGGGAGTCATTTCTAAATTATCTGTATACTCAAAACTATTGGATTATTAGAGCAAAGATCAAAATTAATAAAAACTAGAGGAAAGAATAAAAAAAATAATCCTATTAAACCTGCTCAGTTTAAATACATTAATTTATGTCCAAAAAAATAAGATGGAGGAAAAGACATTGACACCAATTATGTAATTTAATGTAGATACTTAATGCAAATCAAATGTCATAATTGTACCAAAAGAGCCTGAAAACCATTTTAATGAGCAAACCCATGACTTGCCAAACAGAGATGTGGTAGCCAGGGCAGCACTTATTCAGAATTCACTAAAATTCTTGAGAGAAGGTTAATGGAAGATTATGAGCAGCACCAGCTCAAAACAAGCAAAGAAGGATAAAGAATGCTTGGCAAGAGGACCAAGTAAACAAAGGTATCCCATGGGTATTTAAGGATACAACTGAAAGAAGAAAACAGAAGAGAGCTGGCATGGTTTGGTATAAATGTACTTAGAGGAAACAACATTGGGAGGGGACAGAGTTGTAGATAGCAAGTCTACCTAAAGAATCCTAGATGTTCACCTAAAAATAGTTGAAACAACTTTAGTAAAATAGGATATAAAATGAATCTGCATGTTTTTTGTAAAATACCAACAAAATGTAGCCAGAAGACATTTTCTTAAATTTTATTCAAGATTAATAGATTATATAAGCTTTTTGGGGGTCCACGAATTAAAATACGTGAGCACTATATGAATTTACAAAACTACAGGAAAAAAATTGGAGATATTAATTGTTCATGCTTGGAATGTGTAAATTTTAAATGATTCTGTTAGGTAATAATGCTATTAACATTTGTGTAATGCTATGCCAAACTGAGGATTGTTACAGACCTAGAAAAAAGAAAAGACATCTGGAGAAATAAAAGGTCAACAATTTCAAGGGCGATAATAAAAAGAAGTAGGAAGGAAGGGAGCCTTGTAGTACCAGATCTGAAACTGCTGTAAAGTCATCAGAATTATTTATTATTCGTTGAAAAGTAGAAGAGTTGATCATTGAGACATAATAGGTACACAATTATACAGATGCAAGTGAGCGCAGTGGCATAGTACTCAGTAAATCAAAAAATTCCCAATTACTAGGGTCAAGAAATTGCTATTTGACAAAAACTGCTGGGAAAACTGAATTCAGTCTGGCAGAAATTACATTTAGACCAGCATCTCACCATATACAAGAGAAGTTCCAAATGGACACATGACCTAGATATAAAAGTTTATATCATAAATTTGAGGAGCAAGGAAGGAAATGCCTTTCTCAACTATGAATAGGGAAAGAGTTCTGATCACACAAGGAATAGAATCACAGAAGAGAGGAAGGAATTACTGTAGCAAGTTTCTCTGATAACAGTGGAGTAAGAGCCAGGTTTTTTAAATAGTCAATAGATAAGGCCAGTCAATTTTCAAAGAAAGAAATCATGCTATCATCGTCTACATGAAAAGAAGTGTTTCAAAGCACTAAAAAAGAAATGAAAATTAAGCATCCCTGAGGTTCCACCTCATGTATCAGATTGGCAAGCATGGCAAAAAAGGAAAATAGAAGAGGGGCAGAGCCAAGATGGTAGAGTAAAGTGAACAATTTTTCCAAGCCCTCCCAACCCACTGTTCTGAACAATTTTTTTCCTTTCTTACCTTAAAGCACATCAAACAATTCAGAGCAGGATAACTAACAAAAAGTGAGTCATTTTTTCAGCACTGGGTAACTTGGGAGGACAGAAGGTCAGGTGTGCAGACATTGAAATGGAGCTTGCCTGGAGCATGGCAGGGCAGAAATATTGCATATGGGCTAATGGAGGCGGTGATGGCAGTGGCAGCACCTGGAGCACCCAATGCTCAGAGTTGGTAAGGAGACTGAAATCTTGGTTAGAAAGAAAATCAAGGGGAACTTCTGTGTTAGCACTGGGCTCAGGATTGGGTACCATTTGGCAGTTCCACTGTCCAACACCCTGTTCCCAGGTTATAGTTCCAAGGTGAAGAGGAGCAGTTGTAGTCACAAGGGAGCAGAGACCCTCCTTGGATATAGGTCACAGTTCCAGGGCAGAGAAGAGAGGCTGCGGTCACAAGGGAGTAGGTACCCTGTAAGGGCCAGAGTGCAGACCAGAAGGGCAGTGACTAGACCAAAGCCCAGATCATAACCATATTGGAAGTATTGAAAACTTAAAAGTCCCCAGACTTGGCTGAACAGCAGGACATAAAAGCCTGAAGGTCATGTTAGTAGCCCCCTTTTTGCCAGAATAAAGCAGAGCCTGGATCAAACATAAGGTCAAAAGTCATGAAATAGGCTGGAGAATGAGCAACCCTACCACCACCACCAAAAAAAAAGAAAGAACCTAAATATAAAAAGCAACTATAGTGACAGGGAAGCCCAAGAAACAAACCAGAAGACGATGACTTTAAATCATCTATAAGTAAATCCTCACAGAAAATTGCAAATTGGACTCAATAGGAATTCCTAGAAGAAGAAAAGAATTTTTTTTGTTTTTTTAAGGCAAAAACATTTTAAAAATCAGAGTGGTAGAGGAAAAATAAGGAAAATAAAAGCATTGCAAGAAAACTATGAAGAGAGTTAACAGATTGGCAAAAAAAAAAACCACGAAAATACTGAAGAAATTACTCCATTAGAATTAGTCAAATGATAAAATGTGTACCAAAAAATACTAAAGAAAAGAATTCTTTGGAAGACAGTTGGCCAGTTAATAAAAGGGTACAAAATACTGCAGAAAAGAACTCCTTAGAAATTAGAATTGATGGGACAGCTAGGTGGTGCAGTGAATAGAGCTCTGGCCTTGGAGTTCAAATCCAGCCTCAGACACTTAACACTTACTAGCTGTGTGACCCTGAGCAAGTCACTTAACCCCAATCGCCTCACCAAAAAACAAATAAAAAATAAAAAATAAATTAGAATTGATCAAATGGGAGCTAATGACTCCATGAGACATTAAAAAACAAAAAGCCAAAAGACTGAAAAAATAGGAAAAAAATAGTAAGTGCTTAATAAATGTTTATTGACTGACTGAAAATATAAAATAATAATAATGATGACTTGTACTGATTTTGCTTTATTGTGGTGTTCAACACTTCCCAGTACTTGTATCTACCTGTGGGAATACCTGCCAGAAAACTTACAAAAAATATCCTGAGAAGAAAATTGTACAATACAAGAGAATGTGATTAGAGATGCACATATGTGGTTTTGACCAAAGAGGAGACTAAGGCAGGAGATTTTCTGGCTCAGGCCTCTTGCTGCCACTGTGATAAGAGAAAAACTGTGATGGGAAAGAAAGCTGCAGTCTGTTTCTCAGCCTTGACTTCCCACTTGGTGTAACAGAGTTACAATGTCTATAAAGTAAACAAAAATCAGTATTGAGAGGGAACAAAACTGGCCAAATACAATGATCAAGGTTAATTATTGTTAAAGTTAAAAGATACATCCTTCTTTTCTGTTAGCTATCAAGAAAGTAATCACTTTTTGAAGTGATGTACTCTATAGGAGTGTTTGTTTGGGTTCAAAATAAAATGCATCAATGCATTAAAAAAAACTTTTTATTCTGAACTTAACACCAAAAAAGAACATTTCTATATGTAAAGTAGAAGAAAAAAAAGAACTATATGTGAAACCACACATCTGTTAACATATATCTTAATTTTTAAGTGCATGATAAATTCAACATTTACTTTTAAATCTATCTTGCTTGTCTGTTTCCTTCTGAACTTTGTTCTGTTCTTTTATATGCATTTTTTAAAAATGCTTTAATAGCCCTCAACTCTACTATTAAAATGGGCTTCCTAAAGCATAGGTCTCATAATGCCACCCTCCTATTCAGTAAATTCCACTGGCTCCCTATTACCTCCTAGATCAAATAGAAATTCTTTTTGGTATTCAAAACCCTTCACAACTTGGCTCCCTCCTTCTTTTCCAGTCTTTATACATCTTATTCCCTGCCATATATTCTATGATCCAGGGATATTGGCCTCTTTGCTATTCTTCACACAAGATATTCCATCTCTTGACTCCAGGCATTGACTAGTCACCTTGCCTGGAATTCTCTCCCTCTTCTGCCTTTCCTGGCTTCTTTCAAGTCCCAACTAAAATCTTACTTTCTATGAAAAGTCTTTCCTGATCCTTAATGCCTTCTCTCTATTGATTAACTCTGATATAGTTTGTGTATGTCAAGCAAAACAAATCTATACCCTCACCGTATCCAAAAG